TAAACATTCATTCCTTTATTCTCCTTAGAATGCTGACAAAATCTTTCCAAACATACTTTGGGAAATGCTAGTATGGTTTTATTGTAGATTCCAATAAGGGAATGAAAAGAAAAAATAAAATGCAGTCTCAGTTGTAAGAGCATACTCATTTACTAAGAGTAAGAAAAATAGTATATCTAGAGGAACGGACATTATACAGTAGCTCCCCAAACCCAAGGTTCCACTTTCCATGGTTTCAGTTACCTGAGACTAACCATGGTCCAATAATAGGCAAGTACAGTACAGGATATTTCAAAAGAGAGAGAGATTGAGAGAGAGAGAGAGAGAACCACGTTCCCATAACTTTTATTCTAGTATATTGTTACAATATTTTATTTTATCATCAGCTATTGTTGGTAATCTTTTACCATGCCTAATTTACAAATGAAACTTTATCGTATGTATGCATAGGAAAAAGCGTACTATATATAAGGCTTGGTACTATCTGAGGTTTCAGGCAACCACTGGGGGTTGGGGATGCTTGAAAGTATTCTCCACAGATAAGGGGGAACTACTATCACTGAATCTAAGAATCTAAGATGGCTTTGTGAGATACATCATTTTTTTCAATTTTTGTTCAACAAAAATTATTTAGAACATATTTTAAATGCTAACTATGTGGGTTATGGTAACTCTATGTGCCATAGGATGTTATGACCAGTTGGAGTGGGGCAAGAGCAAATAGGAAAGGCTTCATGTAGGAAGAGTTTACTGTATTGTTAGCTAAAACATACTTTCCTATGATCAGGCTCTGGTAATTCAAGTATGAAAATAGTGGAAAAAAATATATTGTTATCCTTCTGTCTGCAATTATACATGTTGACTTCCTCTAGCTTGAGTTTTTTTCCCATAATTTCTCAAACTTGCATGGCCTATAGCTTCTCCAAGGTCTTCTCAAATACACTTAACATCTGTCCAGTTGTCCAAGAATATAGAAGTCTACTTCAACCTCACATACTCCTAATTTCCAGCATAGCTTCCCAGAACTGTTTATTTTAGTACCAGTGAAAATTAGAAGACAGACAACCATATTTATCTAATTAAAACAATCCACACCTATCTGTGATTGGTAACTTTAAGGTTCTTTGTAAATAGTCATTGAATCTAATAATCTAAGATGACTTTGATTGTAAGACACACCATTTTTTTCACGTACCCTAGGAAATGATGCAAATTTCAATTGCAAGATGCCATATATTTTAGGTATCTTAATATGTTATAAAATATGAGGCTTAGAATTGATGGAATTTTGTATCAGTGATCTTATGCAAGGTAGAAAAGGACAACAGTTCTCTCTGTACAGGGTACTCTGCTAGATGCCTGGGGTCCCACATTATTTAAGTTTGAGAAATTCTTATTCCAGTGGCAGAGTAAGAATAAGTAACTAATAATTATAAATTAGGTCCCCCAGGAGAGTAAAATGGGTATTTAAAATTATGTTTTACTATTCTTTGTTTTCCCATCACTTCGTTTACATGGTAGGTACTCAATAATTATTAAACTGACCTAAACTGAAAAGAACTGAAAAGAAAATTATTGAACTTTTTTATAGGCAAATTTATTTTATAGAAGAGTCTAGGTAGCATCTAAAAAGAAAGCATCCCCATCTCACAGCAAGGAAAAGGAATTCCCTTGAATTCGCTACTAAATTGCTACTTCCAATCCCATACTTCACACTGGTCAAGGCACTCTAATGAAAACAGGCTAAGCAAACCCATCTATCACTTAGGCAGCTGGTGTGCACCAAAGACAGATGAATCTTAGAACTGAGGCTTCAAGTGATACACGATGATGGAAAAAAAAATGAACTCAAACCTGTGACCATGAGATTACTCAGCTAATGATTCAGAGCCTGCTCAATACGACATTTAATAGTATCTAGCAATCTCACACTCTGTTTAGGCATGCCATATGTAAACTCCTAATTAATAGCAGAGAGCCACATTTTCTTCTCAATAGGATCCTAGAGGCATTATCGGATTGTGTGTTTTGCCTCTTCTTTTTCCTTTTAGTGCTTGACCCAATAACACTAGACAGATCAAAGGCAAAGAGATTGAAAATATGACAGGTCAAATCAAGAATTTGTACCTTTATGGCATTTTCCTGACTCTAATAGGTTTCTATTATGAGAAAATAACACATTTGATTTTAATCATGGCAGGTTTTTCCAAATACTTGGACTGTGATAACATAACAATCTCTTTCACTTAATTGAGAAATGTGACCTGTTGCTACAAAAATACATGTGCTTGAACCTGATATTGCAGTGTGTTGCTAGAGCTACCTCATACTAGCTTGGGAGAGCCTCCAGTGCCTCTCTTTCCAAAAACATTCAGTAGCTTTAGGTAGGCAGCCTGAAATCTGCCACAATGAGAGTCTTGGCCAGCTCTACAAAATAGGGCTTTTTCCCCTTGGTAAAATTGTATACACTTATCTCTATCACCAGTGTTGATAGAGAAATGGTACACAGAGTCTCTTCCCTAAGATAACCTCAAAGCATGCCTTGTATAGTATAAAAACAACTCTAGAGTGTCATGGCAAAAAGCTCCTGGTCCCAAAATAGCTACCTCACAGCTTGGGTGCAGGATTCCTGGATGAACTTAGTTTTCCTTCCTCTTCACAATACCCTGGGGACCTCACCACTGAACTGGTGGTTCCCAAAAGGAGCAAGACCTCTTCCAGTCTTGGTGTTTCTATCAGGGGTTTGTTATTCATAGGTGGCTACTTTTAAAATTGACATGAGGGCAACCCCCTCGGTCCCCTCTCCTCTGGGAACTTTTCTGTCCTCTCAATAAATCCGGTTTTAGAAAAAAATAAAACTGACATGAGATGCCCTAAATAAAAGACTAAAAAATAAGTTAGAAGGGAGATAAATATAACAGAAAAACTAAGCTAACAAAAACCACAGAAATGAAAGACAATTCTGAGATTCCTAGAAGGCAACAGATAAAGGGGTGAAAAATCCTTTATGTGTATGAGATCTGATCTTCAGAAATAGTAAACTTTATCTCCAATTGCAATGGACATTTTCCAAAAGAGGCATTGAGTGGCATAACAAATGAGGGGTCAATCACCCAAATTGTAGATATTCAGATAAGTATATTGCCATGCCTATGCCGAAGACTTAATACGCAAAATGAAGCTATCATTGTACTTTCACTGTTTTGTTGATTTTTTTTTTACTGTAACCTGGATAGCATTTCTAACAATTCTAAAAGCAACTAATTATAAAACTTGGACTATCCTCATTCCATTTTGAGTCGCAGGAATAATACAAGGAATTTCACCAATATCAGCCATAATCCTACTAACATGACAAAAATGACAGCAATTTCAATTATATTTCAGGTATCATCATCAATCGACCTAAACACAATACTAATAATCACTATATCATTGATTCTAATAGGAGGATACTAAATCTTAGCCTTGATTACTCAACCTAAAGTCCTTTGGGAGCTATGGTCTGGAATTCATAAAAGAGGAAGAGTTGGGAAGGGAGAAAGACATGTTGGAAGGAAGAAAAGAAAGGGAAGCTCCATGGAGGTTCTTACAGGAAGTTGTTCAGCCAATTTAAAAAAATAAAACTGAAATTTAAGTACTCTCAATGCAATCCACTCTCTCAGCTCTGCTTTTTCTCAGTATATAGTAGTCAGCACATAGGGTAGGGATCAGAATTTGTCTGCAAAGATTAAAGTGTGTCCCTATGCAAGGAAGGCCCTCATCTGAACACAGAATAAAAACATTCTGATTCCCAGAGTTAGACAGGATCTTAAAGACAAATTTGTTCAGCCTCTCTCTGACAAAGGAAGATATCTAGTGACAGGAAACTTCTGCCTTATGTAGTCTACACTATTTTGAGTAGCTATGTCAGAAGCCATGGTCTTACAATGATCTCAAATACACATTCCTGTCAGTTACACACAGTGGGTCTGTTGGCCCTCTATATGGCATCAATGTTATGTTTTTCATATAATAACTCTTGAGGTAAAACAATAAGTTCCCTATCTCCAATTCTTAATCTTTTCTTAATCAGGCGAAAAGCATCCATTTGTACCAGTCACCCAACAAAACTCTGGAAAGTTTCACGATGAATCCTAGAAGCACAATATGTACATGTTTTTTACATGTTACATAATATTTACTGGAATTTGACCTAATATTTTTATTTATTGGTAGAAGCTATACCTAGTTTATTTGGTGGTGCATTTTTAAAATACTAAAGTATTTAAAACGTACCAAAATATTCTGTCATGACACTAACTTTGTTTATATTTTTGTCAACATTTATAATCAACATTTATAAGCCTTTTATCTAAAGCACAAAATCCAGTATCACCCAGTTCAGTAAAGAAAAAGGCAGAGTAGTTTTCAACTAAGGAGTGCAGAAAATAATTATTTTCATCTAATTGTCCCTTCTTGCCAAAATATCATTTATCCAGAAATTGTTCAAAATTCAGTGAAAAAGGTAAAAAGTGTTGGGGAAAAGTATGATACCACATAGAAAGGAATCTAGTAAACAATTTTCCCTAGGTTAAAGTAGAGACATTGAAGAGTCAACTCACACAATTCCTTTTTAGTTTAGACAGTGAGGCAATCATTAGATGTGATCCTGTTATATTTGCTCCCTTTGTTTTATCTGGGACCAGGAATGCTAATGGAGACAGAATATTTGAGCAAAACCTCCATGTACCCTGGAGTTTTAAAATATGTAATTAGCTAATTTTCCCTTTCAATTTTTCACCCTTGGCTCTTTTCTTAGCCCATTCTTAGCAACTAAAATGCTTTTCCAGACATTCAAACAATTGCAATAAAAATATGTCCCAGAAATACCAGGCTGGCCTCCAAGCCACAGAAAAACCCTTTGGCAACCAGTGGCCACTGCAGTGTTTTAAAAGAGCCTCATTTAATCAGACCAGCAAATATCTCCCTTAGCAATGAACACCAATCACTACCTCCAGCTATAAAGTCTGAAGAGTAATATAACTGACCTTCAGAGGAGAAATATGAGACTGTAAGACGTATCCATGGACGTTTTCTATCTGAGAGAGGTTCTTTTCTGATACATGCACGAGTTCTGGGCCTCTTACTTCATGGGTTAGTCGAGGTAAGGAATGATCATGTGGAGCGTCCTCATCTTGATACCGATACTTCTGGGAGAAAAGAAAAGAAGGAAAAATACATATATATCAGTGTTTACAAAGGGAACAGGCTGGACTTCATTTTCTAACTTCATTAATTGGACACAGTGTATACATGTTGTTGACTTCACCAACAGGCTTTGCTGCAGCCCCTTCTCATTTAATTGGTGGTCACAGTAAACCAGGTAAAGTACAAGCAACATTGAATTAATCGTCAATATCAACAAATGCCGATGATTTGTTTTTGCCTGACAATAAACTCTCTCTGCTTATGAACTACAGTAAAATGATAAGTGAGACTGAGAAAATGTACTTAAGTAGATGAGGAGGTAGCCCATCTGATCAGAATAGCTAAGTATGTGTTAAAAATTCTAGGTCATGAATGGAGAAGAAAAAAGTGTTGAGCAAGAAACTAAATTCTGATTATATCCCATTCTGAAAACTTAATTTTGTCTCAGAATTTGTGAAAGATTTAAGTATACTTGGAAATGAGAAAAGACTTTTGCCATTCACATTGTCTTAGAGTTGAAAGGAAGACAATCTACTCTTCCTTTGCTTCATCCCCTAGGAGGAGGAATGTTGATTCGGGTTAGTCAGATGACAGGACAAAAGATCACAATTTCTAGAAGCAGAGCTGGCTTTTAAAGAACTCCAAAAACCATGGTAAAGTGTCTGCTTATATTCAGATGAGTCCCTGAGGGGAAAAGGTAATAGTTCCTTTTCCCTTTCCTTCTTTTCTTTACCAGCTTCCTTATACATGCCTGTAAAAGTAAGAGAAACTTCTGAGGTCATTGTTTGAATAAGATCTAAGGAAGTTGTCAGGGAGGAAAATGAGTTAGGATGAGGAATGGTCTGAGGGAGCTCAACCTGGTCTTGGGGTCAGTCTCTATCTTCAGCCTTGGCCCAGCTCTCCATTCTATTTCTTTGTCTCTTTCTACCTTGTGCCACTTTTTTCTTTGGAGTGATCCCTTTAGAGTTCCATTGTTTCAAGCCTGCTGGCCTACCTAGGAAAGAAAAAAGGGAGCCTTCTACATCCAACCCCCAATTCAGCAGATGCAGTGTTAGTGTGTCCTGCTTTGCCTTTGTTCCTTGTGCATGGCACAGGGGTATTAGGAGCAGAAATCCAAACAAGGTCATCACACCATCTCAGGCTTAATTGTGATGTCTAACCTTTCCCCAATCTCACTGTTATCACCAATAGTTATTTTTTTTATCACATCAAGCTACTAAAAACATATCTTTTAATAAAAGTAATGCTTTAATGTTCATTTTTGAGATGAGAAATATAATTTATTGGACATCAACTTTCAGAATGACTCATAATCTGACAGCAACAAGAACCACCGCAGGGTTGGTAATTCAATCTGTTCATTCTTACTCAGAAGTTGATTACTAGTAGCTGTATTTTCCAGTCAGACTTTCTTCAATGTCCCAAGTAATATTAGTCTCAAAATAAAAATTACAACTAACAATGTCATAATTGCAGTTTACAAAGGACTCTCACATATTTTTTCTTTACATTTATTCTTAACTATGATGTGACATTTTAACCTATAGGAAAACTAACACTCAGAGAAGTCAAGGTGTTTGTGCAGGGTCTCCTTAACCAATGGGTATCAGAGCTGGTATACTTTCTAGATAACTTAAATCTGAATTCTCTTTCTACTGTCATCAGCCTTTTTTCTAACTCCATAAGGAGTTGAAGCCCAAGTCTGATAACTGAATTAGCAGCTTGATGGAAAAAAAAAAAGCCCCACAGAGAATATACAACATAAAAGATTAGACTATTTCTGTGAATTGCAAATATCATGTTTTTGTTTTTTTTATAACTCTATGAATAATTTGGGAAGGTAATCTGCCTCAGAAACATGGGTCAAGTTTAACACTCATTCTTGATCAGTTCTTTGTTCACTGGAAGTGTGACAATGTCATACATATGTTCATTTTAGTTTATCTGGCTTTTAGCCCAATCACCCCCATTTTGCGTCCCCCCTTTTCAATTTTCTTTCATGGAGGCATTACCATCTATCACCTGAGCTAGAAAATTCAGAGTCAACAAAACTCCATCCTGTCTTCTGCCTTCTACCATATGCCAATTAAATAAATTGCTGGCTCTGCCTGGTCTATATCTCAAATGATGCCTGAGTCTACTCCCTTCTTATTCCTACCCTTCCCCATCAGCAACAACTCCAACACCCTCCATGTTCAGGTTCCCATCAGCTCTCAGCTAGCCCATAGCAACAGCCTCTGAACTGGATAGATTGCCTCTGGGGCTACCTCCTTCCATTCATTCTCTACTCTGCTCCAGGGGGGTTTCTGAATCATAAACTCATAAAGTCCTTCTTGAAACCCTCCACTGGATTGCATTGCTTATAGGACAGAGTACAGGCTTCCTCACCCTGCCATATGCTGTCCGCCAACACTACCACATGAGTTGAGTCCCCATTTCTTCTACATTATTTTTCTCACCATTCTCACCTCAGTAATTATGGAATAAATTAAGCAAATTACTGCTTGCAGTTTTTTAAGCGTCTTTTAAAATTGATGGTAAAATATACATATTTTAACTATCTTAGCCATTTTTAAGTGTACAGTGCAGTAGTGTTAATTATATTCACCTTATTATGCATCAGCTCTCCAGAACTTCATCTGTGGGTATTCACCTTGCTTCCTATAATCCCTCCATCAAACTCTTTTCATGCTATATAGTTGTGTGTTTTCCTGTGTTTTTCCATTGAATTGTAGAATTTTGTGAGGACTGGGACGATATAGGTGTTATTCATTCTCATATCTCCAGTACTTAGCTAAAAAACTAACACGTACACTCAATAACAATTTGTAGAATAAAGTTATGAATGACTATTGAACAAATGGATGAAATAGGTATCTGTTGCTTAAGTCACTAACCTATTTTGGCTAATGGATGCAACCTCTTTCTTTAAAAAATGTTATGAATCCAGGTTCAAGTGGAAAGAACAACCACTTCATTTGCTTGACATAATTTTAAAGAATATCAGACCATTAAGCAATATATATCTTTTTCTTCATCATGCATTTTAGTAGTATCCTCAGACAATATAAATAAATAAAAAAATCTTGTCCTTGAGAAGACCATAAATTATTAAGTGAGTTACACATGTGCACAGCTAAACTACCATACATAGTGATAACAACTATAAGTATAAACTGAGTTCTGTGGGAACAAAAATTGGTCAGCACCAACTCTCTCTACAGCTTCCCAGTTTGAAATAGGATGTAGAATGATGTAAATAGGTAAAGAATGTTCCAAACAAAAATACGAGATGTTTAGAGGAGACATGTGATAAGAGGGGATACTATCTGCAAGAAGAGTGAGAAGTATACTGTCAAGATGCTATTATTTCCCATCCAAATCCATAGAGATCACTTTTTACTCACCCAAGGTTCACATCTGCATACTTCTCAGGAAGATTACCCTTGAGTGATAGAAGTTACCCCTCTTGTAATAGTCCTAGGTTTTATACTGAAACTCCAACTACTATACCTGAAATTGAGACAAATCAGGGGGCAGGAGAAGAGGCTGGAAGAAAATTGGTGTCCATTGTAGTCAACAAGGAGTCATTCAAGAGACCTTGGACCTACATAACATTCTGCCTACTCCAGCCAGATAGTCCCCCTCCTTTTTTTTCCTGCCTTTCAGTTTTCTGCCTATTACTAAACAAGAGCGGACAAGAACTGGAGAGAAAGTATCATATTTAACTCAATCTCAAGCTTCAAAAGGAATCACCCTGATATGGCATAGTAGAATTCCCCCTGCTTGGATTTAAATATTGATTTTCCTTGGCTGAACAAAAGATTTATCTGTAATACTAAGGTTAATATTAAAGTTAACACTACACTAATACTAATACTAATGCTAATGCTAACATTAATAGAAACGCTAACCCTAACACTACTGCAATACAAATACCAACAACAATACCAGCTACAGATAATGCAGTGGGAGCTGCACTAAATGCATCATATGCATCATCACCAGATGGGAGATAGGTATACTATTCTCTCTTTCTGAGGTTGAGATAATTAGGTATTTTTTTCCAAAACTTACATATCTGGTGAGGGGCAAGTCAAGCTTTAAACATGTTAGTTTGACCCTAGAGTTAGAACACTTGAACAGTCTTCTAAGCGGATTAGGACTTAAATGTCTTTAGGGACCATATTATCTTCATGAAATATAACTTTTAAGAAATACAAAAATCATCTAACAAGGGAGATTTAACAGAGGTCACACCCTGATATAAGAAGCAATCCTAATGTTCTGGGCAATTCTGAGTCATTTCTCTATCTAGGGCTTGTCTGGTAGGTGCTAATGCCATTATGGGTACCGTTGGGAGTTTCCACAATGTCTGCAAAAGAAAGGCCATTTGAGGAATGCCTCTGTTTTAAGATCTGTGTCACTTTAAACTTTACTATAAAGCTAGAATAATCAAAACAACTTGGTATTGGTATAAGAACAGGCATATAGATCAATGGAATAGAATCGAGATTCCATAAGCTAAACCCCAATTTCTCAACCAACTAATCTTCAACAAAGCCTCCACCACCCACCACTGGGGAGAGAAGAACATATTCAGTAAATGGTGCTGGGAAAACTGGCTGACCACATGCAGAAGATTCAAAAAGGACCCCATCTTTCCCCGTATACAAAAATTAACTCTAAATGGATCAGAGACCTAAATGTAAACCTCAAACCATAAGAACTTTAGAAAATGCAGGATGCACCTTTATGGAAGTTAGATCTGGCACCCAATTCCTGAGCAAAACCAGAAATGCACAGGCCATAAGAGATAAGATAGACAAGTGGGACCTCATTAAACTGACAAGCTTCTACAAAGCCAAAGAAACCATCAAGAGAGCAGGGAGACAGCCCACAGACTGGGAAAAAGTATTTGCCAACTCCATGTCTGACAAAGCCCTAACATCTAGGATCTACAAGGAATTCAAATGTGTGGAAAGGAAAAAAACAAACAACC